CCAGTGCCCAAACAAAGGTAGACCATGGCATAGTCCCTCCTACATACGTCGCCACCTATCGCAATATAAGCTAGCTCCTTTAATTTAGGAAAATTTCGGCAGCGCTTCCCGTTGAAAAGTGCCATCGCAGAAAATATACTAACCCAAAAGTCAAACCTTTGGATTCCGGAAAGTCAAAGTTTGCCTAACTCCCTGACTTAGCAAAAATTTGGGCAGCACTTCCTTTAGGGAGGAAGGTTTCCCAGATTTATACCAAGTCAGACTTGAACTTAGACATAAAGTCTAGGTCCTGTTAAGGCAGAATCTCAACCAACTCCTTAGATTTGTAGAAATTTCGGCAGCGATTCCCGTAGAGAAAGTGTTAGTCCAAGATTTATACAAAGCTAAGTTTAGAATCTGAAATGACTTTGAACCTTCAGGGCCCAATTTTAGCTAACTCCCTGAATTAGCAAAAATTTGGGCATCACTTCCCTTAGAAAAGGAACTTTCCCATATTCTTACTAAGTCGAAAAGTCATCAAGACTGGATCTTGAAAAAGCCAAAGTTTTGACTAACTCCTTGGTTTTGTAAAAATTTCGGCAACGCTTCCCATAGAGAAAGTGGCTTGCCAAGATTTATACCAGACCAAGTATAAATAAAGGATCCCATAAAATGCAGAAATGGATCTAAGTAGAAAAACGAGCTTAGAAAATGCACGAATTGAAACTAACTCCTATGGCTCTAGCACGTGGCGAGCAACTTCAACAACTACCTATCAAACTGAACTCAGATTAAGCAGTGGCATCACTCAGTCACATGAAGACCAAACCACAAAAGTAAGCACTTTCACCAGCCCCAAAGTTAACTTAGCAAACAATAGCTCATAGTCTTTCAGTGCTTTATCCCCTTGTGCCCAGCTTACATAGGGCACAAGGCTAGACCACCCAAACTTATGGAACATGTCTAGCCCAACCAAGAAGTATACACAGACAAAGGGCACAACAACTTTTCTCTTCTTTGGGCATGTGACTAGGCCATCCTAGTCGCCCTGAACTGTTTAAATATCCAGGATTTATATAATTGTTTGCACTTAGTCTTTTAAGGTAGCATATAGCTGAGCCGATCATCTTCAGCTGAAGACTCAGCCTGCCCCTTCGTACCACAAGTTTATTCTTAGTTAAGTACTATCTTCAGTTGGTGATAAGCTATAGTCAGACCACCCAAACTTATGGAACCCTGTCTGACTAACCTGTTCATATATAGGATAATAGTAGAGTATACGAAAGTTATAACCTTCTGGTTCCAGCATGTGCGAGGCATTGGACCAAGACCGCCTAAACTTATGGAACATGTATTGACCCTCATTCTGGTTCCTTTCTCTTAAAGCCAACGCAGGAAGAGGTTGAGCCACCCAAACTTATAGAACATGCTCACCTCCTCGTTCATAAACTAACGGAACTATCAAACCCGAATAAACAAGGCCGCCAGACTACCCAAACTTATGGATTTGACTGGCTTCCAAAAAAACAATCACATTCAGCCCTCACAAGTCAGAGCAACCAGACCACCCAAACTTATTGAACATGTCTGGTTCTCCAGACAATGCAAAATAAACATAGCACTAGGCCTTCCCAAACTTATGGAACTGGCCCAACCTTTGGTTGACCCGGCCAAACTTCAAGCAATACTGTCTTTCTCCCACCCTTCCCCTAGATGCAACCCCACAATCTGCTTTCAATCAGACAAAGAAGTTGAAACTGACATTATACATGCGTTCCTTTATTTAGTCTGGTTATGTCCTGAAGAGAAAGCAAAAATTCATAGGGACAGGCATGCATACATCAGTCAAGCTATAGGGGGGGGGTATGCAAACCTGGGTGTAGTGGGTTGTACAAAAGATAGAGATAGTTTACCTGATGGTTCCCTGCCTCCAGAACCTTGCCTAGGTTCCGGCAGAGCTCCCGCAATCAGTGGGCTGACTCCCCACAGAGTCTTTCTGCGGTCCTACGGGTTACAATCCCGCCTGCCGCCTTCCTCTCGTAACCCACAGACTAGACTTAGAGTGAGAAGGGCAGATAGAGAAGATTTTGAGACTCTCAGATCCAAGAATGGTGCTCTCAGAGTCGCGAGAGAGGGCCTTGTTGTCTTCAATCGCCTGAGGGCCCCGCAATGGCGGCCAACTGACAGCTTGATCAGTGAAGACAAATTGTCGTAGTAACCCCTCCTGACGCGCCTCCAACTTGTAGCCCCAAGCTCCCTCCCTAAGCCCAACTACTCCTCTAAGCCCAACTGGTCCTCTAAGCCCAACTTCAGCCGCCCACCACCTTGTATCAGCCCTTAGGTGCGGCAGCAGTAGTACTCAGCGGCGGGCAACAGCAATGGCCGTAATCACCCACAATCACCATTCAGGATGCAACAGTTAGCCACGCAGCAGCAGCTTGTGCCCAACCAGCAGCAGCCCGCAGTTGGGTCCAGTAATCCGTCGCAGCGTGCACCAGTAATCTAGGCTTGGTCAACAGCAGCGGCAGCATCCAGTAACTGTGGCAGCAGTATACAGCGGTGGCCGGCAGTGGTAGCCCCCACCCCTTGCAGCAGCGGTAACCACCAATAGCAGCATACAGTCACCCGCAGTGTGCAACAGTCACCAGCGATAGCGGCAATCACCAGCAGCTGCTTGTAGCCGCCAGCCGCAGCATGCCCGCAGCAGTAAGCAGCCGCGGCGTGTTCATAGCCAATAGTAACCCACGGCAACAACTCTTGTATCACCAATCAGTAGTAGCAACTGTTTGCTGCCTCTAGCTGTAGTATGTAGCCGCCAGCCACCTCCAGGCTAATCACACTCTATCGGTCAGTAACCGTGTCGTGTGTTCATGCAATACTGTCGACCGCCGGTATTGCAGACTGCCTACTTCGTCGGTCGTCGACCCTGCAGCTTGGCGCCACAAGTACGAGCCCCCCCCCTTCCTATCTGCTCGCAACTTGTCACCTCTCGGCTGCTCCCCGTTTGGCCGACCGTTAAAAAGGAGACGGCCTGCCGGACCCGAACTCACACTTGCATCCCCCAGTCCCGCATCTCCACCAACTGATCAGCCCGTAATTCAGCAGTGCCCTCACCCTAGCATCGACAGCAGTATCCTGACTGCCTGAGGCTGTCAGTCTCGTAGACTGCCCCCAAGATCAGCCCCTCTCCCTGTATGCGCTCACACCCTCCTTCCAACGTGCGCGGCTGTGATCGCAACAATCGGGCCGAGAAGCCCTGCTTAGTACTTACCAGCCAAAAGTACGGACTGAGTGCGAAGCCCCTGCTATGACTTGGGCCAAATGCACCGGAGGGTTGGTTTTCCGTTGTGCGACTGAGTCCCCCACCCCGGACCGGTAGGATGGTCGAACCCAAATGAATCTTCCACTCGAATATAGCCAGGTGCACGAGTTTATCACACGCATGCACGAGATGGCGAGGGCGATTCTTCCATCGCTAGACGAGGCGACGACTTAGGCTACAGATGAGTCTTCTGTCCTTCGTTGTTAGCCTGCAGCTCCGTTAAAACGCGGGAGTGTTCATTCGATTTCTCCAACTTCCTTCCGGGCGCAGCTTGTGCTACAATCCCCGGTCGAACTATCGTTCTAGAGTAGAAACTAGTGCTACCATTAGATCCGTAGCAACTAGAGACCCTTTCCTCCAATTTTATTTCACCCGATTTCACAAGGAATCGAGTGAAAACTCCCCTTCCCGTTCCTATCACATCTGCCAGTCTTGATACCTCCGCGCAGTGCACTTTCCCTCTAACGTCAAAGCCTTGGCCCCGTCGCTAAATCCAACGCCGTTAGTTCACTTGCGATGCCCCAAGCCTTCGCACAGGCTCTCTCCCTCCTCAAAACCGACTGAAAACAGACGAGGTACGCCTTCCCCTTCTTCTTCCTTCACTCCGCCATACCCCGGCGCACCACCTTTCCTCCCACGCTCCTGATCTACTACTCCATTACCAAAACTAACATCAGATCCTGACTCGCCCACCCTAAAAACCCCTCTGTCAAGCCCTTCCCCGCCTGATTCAGTCCAAGAACGGCCGGGCTATGGCTTTTGCTTCCCCGCCATAGCTGCTCCCGTCACTGATGCTCCGCCCGCACCCAACCCAGCTTTCCGTCCTGGTGCATTAACAGCCGTCCCCTCGGCCCCGGCTCCGGCCTTCACAGCCTCTCACTCTGCGCTCGACTACCTCGGCCGACACTGCCCCGACACAATGGTTCACCCGGCGACACTGTCCCGCTCGATTTCATCCCTGGGCTCTACAAGCCACTCGCGCCCGCTTCGTTGTGACAGCGCGTCTGCCCAGCTCATGCAAGAATGACTTGAAAGGCTGTGCGAGGTGCTTTGGTTTATAGTCCCGTCGGCCACCGCCCAACCCTTCTCCCATCGGATCCTGGGCACCCCTAGTCCCATATAGTTCCCGCCGACAGGGCTATGAGAGATCGGGACTGGGCCATGCCCTCTCCGCACATTTGGAGAGTCAACGGTCTGACCCCTCGTTATTGTAGCTGCCCAACCTTGACCCTTCGGACTGACGTGACCGGAGGCTGCAACGGCTAGGCCTTCGTCGCAATTCGCGGGTTCAGACATAAAAAGTAATATATAAAAGAAAACATAATACTAGCACCGACAAGGGCATACGAGATTAGTAGACGGTGAGGCCTCCACGACACCTTCCTAGGTCTCTTTTACGTGGGCCGTAACCAGGACTCCTCGGATCGAACTCTGAGCCGGCACCGGCCCAAACAGAGAGAAAAAAACAAAAAAAGAAAATATAATAAACAAACATACAAATGCATAATCAACATAAAAACTTTTGCAGCGGGCGGGTCCGCGTTCGGATTCCCCCAGCAAAACTGAGGGGGATAGTCCCGCGGGACCCTCAACCCCTCAGCTCTTCGATGCGCAAATGCTCCTGTGCTGCCGCCTGCTGGCCTTGAACCCTGTACCTCTGCTGTGTAAATCCAGTACCGTAACCTATAGGTCTAATCCCAAGCCTGGTATTGGCCTCCGCGGAATCCCATATAAAGTGGTGCTGCATAGCCCCCGACCTATGAAAACGGCCCTATCCTCGGTCCTTCTTCTAGCTAGGCACGCAACTACTAGACTCTCGTGCCGGCTTGCCCTCCTGCGTAGTGTGTACCACCTCAAGCAACACATCCATAGCCCCCTTTGTTGAGCCTTGGACTGGCTCGCCACTGGCTGCCGGTAGTCCCTCCTCAACTGAGGGTGACGTGGTGGGACCTGTCATTACTGTGGGCAGTATAGCAAGTTCCGTAGGGGCTCTGAATTCGAAGGCTTCCCTCTCTGTTTCCCTCTTGGCCTTTGCCGCCTCAGGTTCCAAAATGACTCTCCCCATGGGTGCCTCCTGCCAAGGATCAGCCGCGGGTGGCTTCTCTGAAAGGTCCTGTCCTGGCTGCCTCTGCTCTCCCTGCCTACTGCTTTCTGCCCCATCCACGCCGCTTCGACGCTGCTGCCTCAAATCCTTAATAATGGCGGTCTGACTAGCCACCAAAGTTCTGAGCTCGTGGACCTCTGCCTCGACGGCCTCCAATCGTGCCTCAATACCTGTCTCTCTCAACTCCTTACCTCTCAGATTTGCCTCCAACATCATATATCTGTTGAAGGAGGTCTTGGATAGGGAGCGGATCCTCCGGTCCACGTACTCATTTGCCTTCCTTGAGGTCTCGATTTCTGCCCTGTCTGGAGCCGTTAAACTCTTGCCGTATTGCTCCAAGAACTCCCCCCACATCTCCCTGAGTCCATACGGCCTGTAGGGCGGGGGTGGATCTGGGAGCACTCCTGCTTCTTCCAATCTCTGTCTTTCCTGCCCAATCTCCTCCCAACGTCTCTCCACTCTGGCCCTCTTCTCCTCAACTGTTTCCTCTGCGGGTACTCTCTCCTCTGTGCGGCGGTCGGCCTCCTCTAGGACCTCTGCTCCCACCTCTCTCTCGGCCTGACATGGCTCATGAGGCAACTCCACAGGCATGGGCTCCTCCAGATCAGGATGCTCCAAGGCATGAGCGGCCAGATGACTGTCAATCAAGGTATCTGCTTCCCTTCTTAGACCGACTCTCTCAACTTCACCTTCTTTCGTTTCCTCTGGCGACGGGACTGTCTCTGGCAGTGCTGTTGTGACCTCCTCCTTTTGTGATCCCTCTCCTCTGCTGGGTGCGTCCCCCGACGGGCTCCCAAGCCTCAGGCCCACAACTGGCGTCTGAGGAGGGGTATCCTCCTCAACCTCTATGACCTCATCCTCAGCACCGCCTCCTCCAGCACTTGGTCCCTTCTCATGTCCAGGGCTCGGAACTTCTTCTCGTGGCACTTCCTCAATTGGTTCAACGTGCTTCTCACTCATTGGCGGTACTCTCCACTGGGAGACGTCCAAATGTGCTTCCAGCTCCTGCAAAGGCCCTCCAGATGTTGGCACCTCCTCCTGTGTAGGCAGCGGAGATCCTCTCAGCCCACCTTCAATAAAATGATGAAACCCCACTGGCCCCAATCCGCACTCGGGGTACGCCCCATTCCTCTTAGTCTCAGGTACCGTTTCCCCTTCTCTACGTGCAAGTGCCTTCCGTCCCCTTCGTGACGGTCTGGTCTCGGCGGGCTCAGGGTCCCTCTGCCTCCCGCTCCTCAGGCGTCTCTCGACTTTGGGTTGAGGCGGCTCTGGTTGTCGGAATGCCGCCCTCAAATGTGCCCTGCAGCCCTCCCAATCTCGGGCCATATCCCTGATCTGTCTGGCTAAAGGCCTTTCCGCTTTCCGAGTCCATAGGGGTAGTGTCGTCGCCCACTCGTCCCTCAATATGCCTTGGTTGTGCATGAACTGTTCGAACGCAGGGATGAACTCCTCTGCATTCCCAATTTCCAAGCGAATAGGCCTGCCATTCGGTCCAACAGGTGATGGTCGTAGTTTCTGCATCCTTGCCTCCACCTCTGACCTCGTCCTCGCCTCCCTATGGATCTGAGCGATGGGCTCTGCGAACCTGCCAACGCCCCTCAACCTCTCAATCGTCTGGGTCACGGTCCATCCCATATGATCAGCGTACCCCCAGAACTCGTCCAGGAATAACTCAATATCCCTGTCGTCATACACTAGCGTGCTCGTTCGGGGGTAAGGCCTATGCCGCTCGTATCCTCCTGAAGCTCCCAACGGCCTCCGCGGCGGCCGTGTCCCCCTCCCTCCTCTTGGCATGGCTGTCTTCGCAAAGTCAGACCTGCACAACAGGTGAAGGAGACAACAGGCACATGCTGGGGTAAGCACACAGGCGATAATGAGGCAACTCAGGCCAACCCAAGCACATGCATCAGGCAATCCCTCTAGCCTGCTAGCCTGTCTGTCCTGCTCTAAGGGGAGTTGGATCATCTATCTCACCTCTTCTCTTGCCACAAACTTCTTCAGTCTGGTTCCTGACACCCAATCTTTCCACTCTGTTCCATTCAACTCCTCAATTTGATATGCGCCGAACTCTCCACATCGCACGATCTGGTAGGGACCTAACCACCTTTTGTCCAGCTTCCTGGACCACTGCTTCTCCAAGGATGAATCGTATAGGAGTACGATGTCCCCAACTACTAAGGGTACCTTCCTCACCCGAGTAGATTGATCCCAGCGGGCCTTATCATCCATACGACTCCTCTCCACTTGGTTGGATGCCTCCTGGACCCTTTCTTGAATCGCACCCACTTGCCATGCCCGAATATCGAGCAATTCCTCGAAAGATAGATTGACTTCCAAATCCTGGCGCCTCCAAGTTTTCAGGAAGCTCTCGATCGGGAAGGTAGCGTGCCTTCCATACCATAGTGTGGTCGGCGCGTACTTAGTGGTCATTTTCACCGTAATGTTCTCGACGAAGAAAGTTGCCCTTAGATACCTTGACCACTGATTGGGCTTACCTTCAGTCTATTTGGCCAGTAGAGCCGTAATGGTACGGTGCCCTCTTTCCACTGGGGCATTCGCCTGGGGGTGCGCGGCCGTGGTGTAGTTAGCTACCACACCATACCGTGACAACAATTTTTGCACCTCCTGGCAAGTGAATTCCGATCCCCTGTCCATCACGAACTCTCTGATGAAAGGATATCGCAGGTAATACTCCTCGATGCAACTAACCAGGACTGGTCCTGTCTTCGCACGGATGACTCGCCCATCTATGAACCCAGATAGGTTGTCGCGTGCATCGAAGATATAGTTGTAGTCATGATCTCCGAGGGGCATGAATAACAAGTCGAGGTGTACTACGGCCCCTACTTCCCTTTCCAGCCTTGGATGCAGCGACTTTCCAGGCCTTAGACAAGACTGCTCTTGGCAAGGTACGCAGGATCGGCAAAACTTACCAACCATCTCCATCATCCCGTCCGAATAATACAACTCACTTATTTTGGCATATGTGGCAGTAATCCCCCGATGTCCTCCCACAATGCCATCATGAAGCGCAGTTATAACATCGATCTGGCGGTTTCGGCCACATACGACTCTCCTTGGATTCCCTACCTGCCTCTTTACGAAGAGATGATCGTCTCTCACCAAGTATCGATCCCTCATCATTTGAGCCCTATCACTTGCAAAGACTAGGGCAGATACCCTTGTCAGGGTATTCGCGCCGACAACGGTCAGTTGGTCAGACACAAAACCGACAAACACACAGTCGAAAGGGGTGCAGAAAGGAACAGACAAATGCAGTCATAAAGACAGACATAAACAAATGACAGACGAACTCGGACAGACAGACACAATACAAGGACAGAAACCGGGGCCACAGTTTGGTACAGGCTGGTCGCAGGCATATGACGCTGAGTACCTATCAAGCCAGATACAGTAGAAGAGTCAAAGATCCGCCCAGTCAATATAAGGGCTACCCAACTGCGTTTGAACAGATGGCTCGTTCGTGAGAATTACGGGAAATAGGCACGGTGTTGCATACAGAGTGCACGGACACGTAGTACACGGATACACATTGACTCGAACACGCAGTGCACAGTCACAGTCACGGTAACACAGACACTGTGACACACACGCACACACAACAAAAGCACACACAGACTATGATCCACACACAAATACTGTGGCACACACGGATACTGTGACACACGGACACTGAAACAGACACTGTCACACTGTGACAAATACGTATACACAGTGGGACATGCGTGTACAACGTGGGACAGGCACGTACACGGTGGGACTCATGCAAACACTGTGACATAAACACATACACGGTGTTCCGCACACTGACACAGTGTCACATTCATGGTGACACAAGACGTGGTCACGATGACATAAAAACTGTAACAGACACTGTGACGCGCAGACTCACGGCATACAAGGACAAAGGCCCAATGACACGGTGACACAGTCACAATGATACATACATGGTGAAGCAAATATGTTGTGACACACGTGGGGGAGACACGAACAGGGACCAGCAAGACTGAGACAGACAAACAGACAAATAAAGAAGCGCAGTCAAAGGAAGACTGAGAAAAGACAAAACAGGCAATGGTCATGCACGGACATATAAATACACAGTCATGGTAGCGTGACACCAATGTTGTGACATACATAGACATGATGATACGGGCAGATCCCGTGATACGCACACGCAATCGCTGTAACGATCGTACGTACACAGTAACCTGCCTACACAGACATACCAGAGCACTGGAGCCAGACATAGAAAATGATCTTGAATACGGTACTGATGTGGCCATCGGCACGAGCGTGGGCTCATTGTTCCTTTATGTTGCCCTATTTTTATGGACCCTAAGGGCTATTGCGCCCTATCTATTCCTCTCTACTTGAGCATTTGTGTGACTTGGTTTCCTATATACCGTTCACACTCATATTCCTTATATTATTATTATTATTATTATTATTATTATTATTATTATTATTATTATTATTATTATTATTTCTACTGTGGGTACTGATATTCCGGTAGCTTGTGATTCTAGTTGGCCTCGTGTCCGCCCTAAGTGAAGGCGGTGTCTGGGCAAGCAATGCGGTCATACTGCCGCGCTGCCACCTTGACCTAAGCGAGCTCGCTATTCGAGCATGCACAAAGACACCGAGGAGAAGAAGGGGGCTGCCGGGAAACGAAGATATAGCGGCCGTAGCCGAACTGCAGGGTGCTGGGATGGTAGATTAGTGGGGTTCTTGGGAAGGAAAGACACAATGTGAAGTGTGAGAGAGGGAGAAAAAATACACTTGGTCTAATGGAAACCTACATAGGTATTGTCATCATGTGCATGGTCCTCAGCGGAGACGTGACTCCGGTTACACGTTGTAATATAGGCTAGTAGAGGAGCCAGACCTACGCAGAGAGCCTTACTAATAAGCGACATTGTATTCCTTGTGTTTGTCCGCAAAGAGAGGAAAGGTGGTTGATGACAATATACATTATCCCCCCCCTCTCTCAGTCCTTGCACAATGTAAGCCATTGGTAGGGTAAAACTATTATTAATTAGATTATTATTATCCTTAATATTATTATTGACCACTTGATATCATAAGATAGGGTGAAGGAGCAGGTGTAGGAGAATGCGGGAGATTGGAGAGGAGAGAAGGCCTTATTGAGCCTGCCTCCTCCATTCTTCCTCATTCTTATCAGTTGTTCGGTTCCCTCAAAATACGGGCTCTTTTCAACTCTAATAGATGTGTTTCCCTTAAGGTAACGCTGATATTTTGTCAACCTTAAGATTCAGACAATTAATATGGATTGAGCAAAGACCTGTGACAGGGCGATTGCGGGAGCTCTGCCGGAGTTCAGGCGGAACTCTAGAAGCAGGGAACAGTGAGGTACGTACGATTCGACATAAACCCTAAACCCTAAATCTATAACCTTTAGGTAGATACCTATGACTATGATAGTAAAGAGGGTACGTCGAGACGAGGGGTCTTTCAGAATTAAACCTGAGGTCAGAAAAGCAAACAATGATGCTGGAGCAAGGGGAGAAAGGCGTGATCTGATTGGGGTATTTAATTATTATTGGCAAGCGTGGCGGGAACGAGAACTGTCGAATCAGTCTCGCTACGTGAATGTTTCCTTGAGGTATGAAGAACAAAGGGGGGGATGGACTTCTAACAGTCTTCCCTCGCTTATAGGTTACTTGACCATGAGATAAAGGGGGTGGGGATCCTAAGTATTTTTGTCAAACTTATGAGTAATATGACCAGATCTTGAATTGATGAATTGTCTCAACCAATCTTTATCATATGACTAACCCATACCAACGTATTCCTAAAGGTCCAAAATAACTCAGCCAAGGAGCAGGCGAGAGAATTTCAGACATGAGGTGCAAGTCGCATGTGACCCACCTACATGGTCTTAAACCACCAGTACCTTTGCCAATTGGAAAATAGCGGGTCTCGGGTAGGCATCCAACCTTTGCAGCGGCCGAAACGAAACGATGGTCGCCGATCAGATTTATCAATGGCGGTCATCGTCGGGCCCGACCTCCGAAAATTCAGACGCCTGGGAAAACTGTCAGTTTTTCCTATTTTCCCACACTGGAAAGGTACTAGTGAAGCTTCCGGATGGTCCAGGACTTTGGACTGAGCGTCAAGCACAATAATATGTACTAGGCGATAAGAGTGAGCGAGGCTCTAAGAAGCCTGCCTTATCGCCATAATAATAATATATAATAGGTGATAAGAGTGAGCGGGCTCCGAGAAGCCTGCCT